GATAGAAACTGCCCAACTAAACAAAGATCTTTCACCACCCTTGAGGAACATGCAAATTTCTATCTAAATATTCAGATATTTACATCACAGCAACACTACCACTGGCATTTTTTGCCCTGAAGAACACCATGTAAAGTGGAATCTGAACTACCTTCCCTGATCCCTCACACAAGATGAGCAAGCAGCAAATAGAAAAAATGGACAAAGTTAACATCACATAATTGAAAAAAAGTCAAAGCATCTTCCACAAAATCTAAAGTAACTTAAATAATGACAAATCAAATCTGTCAAAAATGTTTGCTGCTCTGGAAGGCTAAGGAGAAGGATGGACAAAGAAGTATTTGAAACGTTATGGCCTACAGGAAGCATCAGTTTGAGTTAACATAGTATCAGGGTGTTCTCACCTTCTTCCCACACAATTTTCAGTATGTCTTGCAAAACATCTTGAAAATAATTTTTGAAAAGCATGAACAGACATTACCAGTTCCAGCTAGTCAGCAACCAAGCCATTAAGGTAACCTTTACATTCTGCTAACTCTGCCATTGCAGATCAGAACAGAGTTTTATATGTATTTTGTTCAAAATATGTCTTGAGTTCATGGAGACATTGGCATCTGGGGTACTTCTATGCTATGACAAAACAATATTAAAGTATTTTTGTTATCAACAATGAACTGTATTCCTAATGAAAAACATCTCCTCTCCCCTGAGTATTAATATTCTGCTTACAGAATGAATTACTATTATTTTCTACCTCTTACTACATTTTGTACTACAGTTATGGTTTTGAACACTCAACAGTAAATATGAACTGGTAACTCTGAAGTCTAGTGACAAGCATTTACCGATTGTCCTAATCCATGCAGCTTTTACAGCTGCTTTCTCTGATTGAAGTGCTGAGATGGAAATCAAAATGTTTCCTCTCCCCAAGCCTCACCTTGTTTTTGTGGCCTGTCCTATCAGGGCCATAAATGCACTTCCATCACTCTGGGCCTTCCGTTGCCAGAAGGGTTCCATATGCAGGGATGCATCCTGAAAACAACATCCAGATCTGCTTCCCTGCTTGCTGTAAAAACACTGAATTCATGATACCTAATAACCCTCTGTGCTGTCTTAATGTCATCTTGATTGCAAGTGGCCTGTCAATGCACAAAGATCCTAAATGAGCTCTCCATGCAAATATCCCATTATGAGTTCCTTTAGATACATTTGTTTCACAAGGTCAAGTCTCTATCCAAGATCACAAACCACTGTAGTTATTTTCATGGCTGTAACAGCTGCCTAAACTGAAATTGCAATTTTCCTGGAAGCTTTATATCATTCCAATACAACTAAGTTTTCAGTTGATGATGGCAATCAGTGACAATCAACTCAAGGGCATAACGTTCAGCTTTGTACTCTAGACCAGTGCAGCAGCAGCATAGCTCAGATCCCCAGGAGAGCCTCCTGCTGACTGAAGACTCACCACCCCAGCAGACCAATCACTCTCACTGAGCCAATGGTTTCAGCACAAGCAGATAATGTACAGCAATGGTACCACACCACTTGCATTTAGCATGGATTAGGCTCTTTTAGTGCTCATTATTTTCCAACAATGGGTCAAAAGTCACCTGCATTTCTGATTTCTACACACTGCTCTTGAACAACCGCCAACAGTCTACAGTTGTGAAAAAGGGCACAGTCTCGCAGTACCTGAATGAAGAAAGGAGAGCAGCTATACTGACACTGAGCAGGCTCAGCTGACAGCCCTGTGGCTGCTGAACAAGTGCTCAGTGCAGAGGGACACCAACCTGGGTAGTCAACACACCAGGATCCAGATCAGCGAGGCACATGACAGGACAACCACGCAGCTGCAACCCAGCTGAGGCAAGAGCCAAGGCCACAGGCCTGAGCCTAAAGACAGCTCCTGAATCAAAGGGGAACTCCAACAAACTCACAGCTCTTTCCACGGCACTCTGAGTCAGGATTACATGGCTGCACCATACCCAAGATGAGCTTGAGTACTGGCAGCCAAATGAGCTGCTGGAGGATGGGGTGTTTGTGGTCATGACACCTCCTATCCTCCTACTGCTTCTTCTTACTGCTTCTTCTTTTGGTGATGGCAGTCAAATAAATTCTGACTTTCTTATTTCCTATTCACAAGACTTTAACATAATTTTAAAAAACCACTTGCATCTGTTTTTCCAATTATGTTGTTTAGGTAAAGCTGTAAGCAACCCAGACAACAAAGCTCCCTACAGTTCAGGATGCACAGGACAAAGGTTCTGATCTGGCATGACATCATCACTTGCTAAAAATTTCCTTTTTATTCTGCAAACATTACCTATTTCATATGATCCAGGTACAGAAAGTGCTTTGGAGTTAACTTTATAAGAAGACTGCAATTTTTATTTTCAAAGAAGTACTAACAGTGTAGTCCACAAGGCTTCACATTATTTTTTAGAAACAAGATTGAGTTCAAATATGGTATCTACACCATCTCAAAATTTAAAAAATTTTATGGAACTGGTGCTTAAGAAATATTTTTCTATTTCAACGAACTATATCTATGAGAAACACCCAAGTTTCTACCCCTTGTCCTTGACCTTGAAATTGTAGCTCTTAGAGTTGCCAAGAGGAACACTTCTACTAGAAATTTAATCCTGTATTACAACAGATGATGCAAAAGGACAACTGTAAAAGCACCATGCATTGGGACAAACAGTAATAATGTGTCATTAGCCTTCGGAATTGCCAGCTAATTTTCACTGCCATTAATTTTGTATGTATTGCTCTGACAGGCTTCATTCTGGAAACATCAGTGCTGGTAGCATCAGCGCAGCTGGCGACACAAGGTACACATAAAAAACCCAAAGGAACTTCTGCACACAGGGATGTATGGAAGAGATGCTTTGCTCTCCCAGTGTCAAGAAACTCCTCTGGGCTGTAATACCAGAGATCCATTTTATTTCCTGCCACCTGGAAAATGAAAATCAATCTCCCAGTTATTCTTTAATTGCTTACAAGAAACTCTACTCTCATAATCCACTGAAAAACTATGACCAACCAAACAGAAAAAAAACATACCACCCAAAAAAAATCCCCCTAAACCACAAAACCTTTAATCTCTTCTTTATTACTCATATTATTCGGCAAAGCAAAAATGTAGGTCTTGGGAAAGTAAATTTCAGCACAGTTTCTTAAAATCCATTGTTCCTGCAGTTATGTATTACATTGGAGCAAAGGCAGGATAAGAAGTTCAATGACAAGAACCTTGTTATCATATTTAGACAAAAGATTAAAGACAATCATTGCAATATTTCATCATTCTGATTCCAACCTTGGTTTGTTTTCCTAACTTGAACCTTTAGAAGATGCTGCTTTCCCCCTTCCAAAAGGCATCTAACCGAAAATTAAGATTTATACAGAGCGAAAAGCAAAGGCTTGTCCACAGGTCAGGCAGTTCCATTTATATTCCCTTGACAACAAGCACAGTCCCTGTCTGAAATCAAGGGAATTTTACTGCATTTCCTCCCCAGTCACAGATCAAAATTAGTTTTCTAGAATTTATTCATTGCCACTTCAGATAGAGCAGGTTATGGCTCTTTTAAAAGGTAAAGATAAATCATAATTTTTAAGTATCTGAACACCCATGTTCCAACTTAAAAAGAACAGACTTCTAAATATCTGGGGTTTACAAACTTCTAAAGCAAAATTTTTTTCAGTTTATGGAGTATTAATGAAAAAAAATTTCATTCCAGTACTAACATCTAGCCTATGCCAGTAAAAGCTGAGAAGCAAAGGTAATTAAGAACGGTACCAGCTATATTTCTTGCATATAAATACCATTGTTCAAGATGTGCTCATCCCAGCTAATACATGTTCTGCCTTCATAAAGTTCTAAACCAGAACCACCCTACAGCAGATATTTAAAAAAGCACTGGTTGCTTAAGAGTCAGTTAAAAAATACACCCGAAAATCCCCAACACAATGCAAAATTTTACTACGTAAAAAAATACAGAGCAAGTGACACACACTCAATATTGTATGGATGTGTCATACCAACATGTATTTTCAAATTCTATAAAATGTAATTTGCAATGCACTAATTCTATAAACCCAAAAGAACATATTCCCTGAAGAACAGAACATTCAGAACTGCACAACACGGTACGCACACAAGAGCTCGCTTGTTAAAGCCAAACCGCATCTCTTCTAGGAAATGCCTTCTAAATACATAAAGGATATTTTCATACTAAGTGTCACATCTCTTTACCCCCTTCCTCTCTGACACTTCCAATTCTTGTACAAGCTACAGTGCACTTTAAGACAGCTCTAGCTGAACAATTCAAACAAAAAAAAAAAAAAAAAAAAAAAAAGGCTTTGAAGCACACCAAAGGTTTGCCCTTATTCTCTTATTCTGTAGAAACGGTATAGGGATAACTTGGCTCTTCCCTCCCCCCTCAGTACCTTTCTGGGGTAGTGACTTCACATCCTTTGACATCAGCACAGCTTGGGAAGGGGGATGGGAGAGTTACGGCAGAAAGCTGTAAAACCTGCTTTTAACTATGTATGCAATGCCACCATGAATTCTTAAATCTTTCCCAAACACATATAATAGAAAATGGGTTTTGCTCTCCGCCGGTTTTACCGCGGCTGTAACAAGCCGAGAGGGACCGAGCTACAAAGGACTTCCTGCTCCCCTTCTCCGAGCTCCACAATAGCCATTTATTCGCTCGTCAGAGGGTCGCGATTCACTCTCACGCACAATAACTCACCTCTAATATGCAAAAGGGCCACGGGCTGGAACGGCCCATTGGAATTGGCTGCGTCAACCACCATCCTGCTGCCAGCTCTGTTACATGTCAACATCTAGGCTCCAGCAGGCACGGCACTGTATTCCTTAAGGCAAGAAACCAGCCTCCATTTTAGTTTAAAAAAAGACAGAAACTGAAGCGCTCTGCAGCTGGAGGGAACTGGCTGGGGAGTGATGTCACAGCGGGCGGGAGGAGCCCCATTGGCCGACGGCAGCAACTTCAAATGACACCGCGGAGGCCGCGAATGAGCGCGGCCCGTGCGGGGCTCCCCCCGCGCCCGCGCCGGCCCCGCGCCGCCCGCGGCAGGGGCGGAGCGGCTGCGGAGATGACGGGTCTGCTGCCTTGGTTTGGGCTTTTATTATTACCAGGATGATCTCATTGCTGCTGTTGTACCCCCGCCCCCTCGATAATATTCAGTAGCACCTGCTAGGCAGAGCGCATCCAGTTTTATTTTTCCTCTTTCCTTAGCCTTTCCTTCAGTACGGTTTCCCAGGATTATCACACCAATGTTCAATTTAACCGTGGAAGAAACACAGCACTGAGGGCAACATCTGCAACTTTAGCTTTCAAGGGCCATAACAAAAGGTAGTTAGTTTACAGTAAGATACAGGTCCTTGGATTATTAGTGGTGATTTAGAAATATAAAGCCTCATAAATATTCCTTGCACTGTTTTACCACTGGTTATAGTATGTACGTTATGAATAAAAATACATATATATGACAAGCAGCAGATTAAAACCTCATGTTTCATGCTGAGTATTTATTTTAATCTAGAAATGGACCTGGATACTTCTATCAACCTAGAAATGGATCTGCCTTCAGTTGACACTAATGTTCCTAAATTTGGATATTGCAAAATACTGGTTTTCCTTTCTAAAAAGATTAGTAATTATAAATAACTTTTTAAACTATTACTGAAAAGTAAAGAAAGAAGCTAAGAAGCACTATATAGGTATATGGAAGCAGTTTTCCTGCATTATCTCAGAAGTAAAATAAAAAAATAGCACTGCATAACAATTTATGAACTTGTTAGTTCAATTATTTAAGGTATTTACAACAAAACTGTGAGCTGCGTTTTTTTATCATATGAGACTTGCACATTTATTTTTACAATGAGCTATTTGAAGAACCATTTTGTCTGCTGGGAGTGATGTTCAGAGACACTGGCGCTGTTTCCAAATCTGTCCCTCTCCCCAAATACTTTATGTCACCTACTAGAGCAAATGAGTATGTAGATTACTGAATCTATGACACTGTCCTAACTCATATCTGAAAAAAAAAAAAAAAAAAAAAATCAGAAGACACTTTTTCATTAAGTAACTTGCTGATGAAAATTTGAAATAAAAAAAAAAAATATAGGGCATATGTGTACCTGGTTAGAAAATTTACATCACACTACAATAATACACTGTCAAAGGTGTATTGAAGAGAGCTGTGCTGAATACTATTCAATTGGTGAAGGAAAAAGACTAACTGGGATATAAAAAAGAAGAATATCATCCATAAGACACACAAAGAAATCAATTGAATTTAATGATTGCTGACAAGGCCCAGTTTGAAGTAGTACATCTTGGATGTAAACCAGATGAGAAAGCCCAAAGACAACAAATCTTTAAAATATTACTTAGTTCAAAAATAAAGCTCCTCTGTTTGATGTGGTGTATGAGTTGTTTGTTTGTTGGTTTGTTTTTAAATAGAATGGACTTGACTTCAGAACTTTAAATATCCAAGTATTTTAAAGAATAATATGGAGGTGGAAGGAATTAATTTTTCTACATTCACTACAAACAGTAAATGCACCCTACCTCAAGGAAGATTAGGTTAGAAATTAAATAAAATCCTCTCACAATAAGCACACTTTAAAAACCTGCAAAGTTTCTAGTAATTTAAAAAATTGCCAAACATAACGTGTGACATAAATCCTGCTTTTGACAACATCAAAACAAACCATGTGAACTTTTTAGACCTTTTCTCTAAGACTACAGAGATTCAAATCCTTTGTCCTTACAATGTAGGCAAAACCAGGGAAGGTGTATTCTCAAAAACTTCACATTTTTTTCCTCTTTATCCCTTGAGTATACCATAGAATCACAGGATCACCAAAGTTGGAAAAGACCTTTAAAATCACCAAGTTCAATGTGAGTTTTAGCCTTGTAAAACAAAAAGCTACCATAGACATATGTCTTTAAAAAAACTAGATCAAAAAATAAAACCAAGACCGACCTCTAACAAGGTTTGCTACAAGATTTTGATGGATGAAGGAAAAAACTAAACAACTTGGGTATTTTTTGAAGTATTTTCATACGCAGGATCTTGTAGCAAATTCTGTTTCTTTTCCCGATCTTAAAGCAGAATTAGATTACTTTATAGTAATAAACCACAGTACGAAGCAGCAAAAATAATGTTTAAAATTCCAGTTTATCTGGTAACTATATATTTAAGAACAGCTGCTCTATCACTTCTCTCTACTCATGTCCACTTTAATGGTCAGCTGCTGCTTGTGTCTCTCTGAAACTCCCTGCAAAGATTAAATGACCAGGAAGGCTGTCCCTGTGGCCACAGACAATTCCACAACAGAGCAAAAAGGGAATATTAATTACAATGCCATTTCCTAATTTATACATAAGCATGACTTTCATTGTTGGAGGTTCATTTTAGGTAATGGTTTAAGTGTCAAGCCCCTTAGAAAATTCTTTATTAGAGAGACTAAATGTGACATTCACAGAGCTAGCAGTCCTATTGGCAGATAGGACTCAGTCACATTCAGGAAGTTTTCTCTTGCAGAAATGTTCTCATTTCTTCTTTTTTGCTGGACTCTGATAGGTCTGAGTCCAGTACTTAAGAAAACACTGAAAAACTGGCTAAAACACTCATAAACCAGTGTATTTTTGGTGTAATTCTGACAGGGCACTAGTGAAGCTGAAGTACTGTGGTCTTCATAAGACCTTTTGCTGGTTAACAACATCTGCAGTCTTCTCACCATTGTACAGATTGGAGTACATTCTGCTCAGGAGGTTTGTATACCCTCCCTTTGTTTCAGTCTTAAAATATTTGATTTGCCACCAAAGGAAAATGTTTACTTAAGTTGAATTATTTTGAGCAACTTCATTTGGGAAAAAAATTGCAAACAAAATTGAGTTAGGAATTGACTTCCTAATGGAAGGGAAAGAATATTAGTGCAAGTGAAGCACAGCTAATGAATATCAATGAGAGGAAGAAGAGCTTACTTTAACAAATTTATGAAGACATTTCTGTTGCAAGAAAATGAAAAACAGTATAAACTTCAGCTATCCATTTTTAGAATTCAATGAACAAAAACCCATATTGACAACGTAGTGAAACTGTAGCTATTACACGTTTCCTTTGAACCCTGCTCATCACTTCTAACTTTCCAATAATGGGAATGAAGAAAAAATCCTATAATGTTCTCAGGATATAACTGTGTAACTTTTTAGAATTATAGAATGGTTTTGATTGGAAGGGACCTAAAGATCCTTTAGTTAGGATCCAGCATTATAGCTAATGAATACTCTTTACGCTTGGAGGCTATGTACCACTTCTTCAAAATCAAATACTCCATTTGGGTTATTGATTTTAGAAACAAACTCTCACACCCCCACTACACATATAGCAAATTCACCTGCCCAAAGGTTGCCTTTATTTCCATTCTATACCACCTACTATTCTAACTGATAATGGTAGAATCAACAACATAAGACAATTACAATTGCATGAACTTCTGTTTACATGAAGACACTTGGCTTGGTTACCTTTCAGACTAAATGAATTTTCATTTTTTGATTGGGAGAGGAAGGGAAAATATTTAGTTCGAACTGTAAGGTTACTAAAGGCTATTCTTTATCAACCTAAGCCAGCCTTGTTGCAGGCCACTTCAGGCCCCTTCCTTGCATGCCTGTCTGCTTCACATTTGAAAATATTTTGCTCTAATTTGCTTCCCACAGCTGAGTTGGTGTAGTTCCCTAAGCCAAGAGAAAGCCACTTTATTGTCAGGTTAGTTTTCTGCTAACTTAGATTGTGTTCTATGGCAGTCTAAGCTGAGCTAAACCTATAGGAGCTACTGCTGCAATCCCCTCTCTTCTGAGGCTCAGGTGCCCAACCGTCTGAAATTGCTGTACAAGGCTTTGTGAAGCTGCATGGCTGAACCAGATTAGGAAACTGTGCACAGTTAAAATGAGAAAAGGCTGAGTTTGAGCCATGTTGATTCCATTATCTGGCCCACCAGACAGACACCCAAAAAAGGGACAGGAATAAACATGACTTGCTTTTTCTGGTAGAAAAAAGTCATTTACTTTTTCCGCCCCTCCAATTATAGCCTACACTGAACTTACTGTTCTCATATGATGCCAGGCTATAAGAAAATGTGGGTCTTATCACAACCCTGAACAGTGAGCTGCTCAAAGACAGGAACTTTGTTTTAGAGAGGGAAAGGTACTGGATACTACACATTCTGGAGGAGAACCTGCAGCAATAGGAAGGATATGGGCTTCTCCTTCTAGGTTCTGACTCAAATCCAAAGGACAGCCAAGAGGAAATTTTTCAAGGAAACAGAGGCCGTAAACAACATGTTAATACTTAGCTATCGAAAGAAATAAAGAGATAAGAAAAATATACTTACCTGGATAAATTAAAGGGATATGAACTATCATGCAGCTTCCTTAAAAAAATTCCCAAGACTGAAGCATGGCAAAAGACAATTCCTCATTGAAAAACGTATAATATTCGTTCCTTCTACTACAGCAAAGTTTAGTTAAAGAGGAATTGGTAAACATCTGTTTGTGACTGGATTTCCTGTCTCTATCTGGATTTCCTAATATTTGCACGGTCACTGTAGCACACAGGTCCAACAGTGCCAAGTTTTCCTTCAATCAATCTTGTATACTCAAGAAGTTTTGTGAGTGGGGATACAGTGAAAAAACAGTAGATATTGGTTGAGTTTAGAAAGCTGTACAACACAAAATCATTACCTTAACAGAAACTTGCTTTAAAAATAGCATTGGTACAAAAAAGTAATTCCTACGGCAGATTGCAGAAGCTCATTTCAAATACTGGCACACTATTTTAATCAAGCCCTGTGCAAAATCCACCAAAATAACACCAAACTCTCTGATGTCTGTGGCCTTATTACATAGGTCACACCTACCACCTTTAAGAAATAAAGTGTAAAAATAGCATTTAAGAGTAAAAATTGGACACCAGGCTAACTAGCCTGATCTAGTTATCAGTCCAACAACCACTGATTAATATTCACATGTATAAATTCAATGCTTGATCTGTAGAGGTCTTAAGAAGAACGAAGTTCACTGCAGCAGCAAAAATGTGTAGGTCTGATTATAATGAAGATCTATGCAATGGAACAAAATGTTCCATTTGTGAATGAGGGCATAATAAAAGGCATTTTAAGAGAGATCTAAATTGAATTCAGAGACAGGTTAGAATCTAGAAAATAAGACAATACCACATTTTAAATCCTATTTTTATGGATTCTATCCAAACTTCAGTGCAAACAAGTTTGGTAGGAAATGCTGCCAGTGACAGATGTAGTGCATTCTTCTAACACTTTCAGCTGCTGACTAATGAGTAGGTGTTTGATAGGGCAGTTGATATGAAAAATGGCTCATTAATGCAAGCCTATGAGTTCATGTAAAACTAGCTCAAGGAAAAGAATTCACACACACTCAAGCAAAGTAGTTTTCCTCTACAACTTTTTTTTTTTTTTTGTAGTTCTTCATTCATTAGCTATCATGTTCCTTAATCTTTAAAATGCTACATAGCAATTCAGACTGGATAGTTCCTAAATATTTTAATATTAATTACTCTATAACCATTGATAGATTATATGTTCCTGTATGAACACCAAACAATTGACAGCTTTTGGTTTAAGAAATGTATATGCCTACCACAGACATTTTGATGATTATTTTAAACATCTAAAAGAAAAATCAGTACAGGAAAGTCTGTTTACAGAGTACTGATAATGCTTTTAAGGTCAAAGTGTAAGGACAAAGTTGCTAAAATAATAGGACAAAGAGCCTCCACAGTTCCTTCACATAAGACGATACATACATTCACTGACAATACATACATGCAACCATACTGATATAGGAAAGAACAGGCTTCTGCAGTATTTTCCATTATGGACTTTTTGTTTCAATAAATTAAATACAACACTGGGCTGCCAAAAAATCTATAAAAGCACAAACACAGTCAGGACCAGAAGGACAGCATTTAGCATACTGAATTACTCTGCTAT